CTTCCCAGAGCAACTTCTTCCTTTCAGGCTGTGTTCGCCCTCCAATGACCCGCCCGGTCCTCCCAGAGTAACGTTCTCCAGGCATTCTTTTGCGTGGCAATGTGGCAAAAGCATGGGGCCCCGGTTCTGGTTTTGGATCGTCTTGCACTCTTTTCTTCCGGTTCCGAAAGCAACGTTAGGCATCCTGGTTGCCGTTTGCCTGCGTATATGTCAATGCATGTTGCTTTTTAAATACATCACTATGGTTAACACATGGCACATGTTTTGAAAAACAGCATGCGCACGCCAAAGTGGTCCATGCAGGCAGCAGCACTTGCACACTCCCCTTGTTGTTGCCCGCACTTTATTCCATAATCACGATGAATATCATGAGCCCATTGATTTTTGCGTCCCTAATCCACACGCCAAATCGCGAAAAACATGCACGATTCTTGGAAATACCACAGCCTGCAAAGAAATCCCACGCCCCAAGTTACAATGAACAAATGAATATATCTGTTGGGATGTTCACGTGCCCATGTTTATTGATATATCTGTTTAGCTACATTGTCCCAGGGTTGTATTGGAGAGCGACAGGCCATTTTCATCATCTATATCTATCTATCAACGCTGATTGGACACCATAGTTGAATCATCTATCACCGGAAGTAGTTCTCATCATCATCAACCAATTCACATCAACTCGCTTCTGCAAAACAAACACTTTGTTGGCTGGAAAATCCATTCATAAAATGGATAGTTTCCTTAGGCTTCTCTCTGGGGTGTGCTGATTTTCCATGTTGCTCTGGCAGATTTCTCGTCATCGAATCCCGAGTGTTTTTTCCGTTGCTTGTTCCATCTGAAACTGCCGCGCGGGAGTGATGGCCTCTGCCGCACGAGAGTTGTGTGACCAAATACTAGCAGCTCATAGACTACATCCCATGGCAGGGGTGAGCCGGCGGGGGATTAAGCGAGATAGAACTTGGGGGGCCATGGCTAATGACCATCCTGGGAGTCACTGACAGATTGGTGGCTGGAAAACTATCCCGTTTTGACAGGAAAACCCATGGGAAAATTGACTTCTTTCTATGGTTGATTTTTGTTTTACTTATTTCCGTCTTTACTAGAGAGTCCCTGAAGCGCCGCCGAAATGAAATAAACAAACCACGTAGTACGTGATGGATTGTCTAAGTCTACCCAACTGTAAATAATAAGTAGTGACCATCAGCAACAGTAATGGTTGCAAAACACTAGCCAACAAATTTCTTTTGGATTGTTACGACGATATTTACGCTTGCATCCCTTCGGGTAGACGACCAGTTAATTGGGTCTCCATATAGACATTGAATTATTCAACCACGTAGACCTTTCTGATTGGTCATTTCCATGAGGGCAACAACGCAAAGCCTTCGTCAATTGGAAGTGACCCTGCAAGCATTCTTGCCTGCTGCCTCAATGGTCATCGTCCCCTTCGGGGTGTTCTCGAAGGTATTTGGCATTCTCCGACCGGGCAAATTCGAGCACCTTCCAGGACTCACAGAGGTCAAAGGTGAAGTTGGTACCGTCATTGTTCAACAAGTCTTGAGCACAGTCATCAAGATCTGCGTCTGGGAGCTTCCGAGCGAGCACGCGCACATGGCGTTCCAAATCCTTCTTGACGCGAACCAATTTTGGAAAGGATGCCATTGAGGCTGCAAAGGCGCAGAAATGTCGTCCTCCCGGTTCCTTCAACAACCAATTCAACGCGAATCGGGCGCCAACGCTCGTGATGGCAAACTCATCCATCTGTGTGCCTCGCCTGCGACCAGCAGCTGGCGAAGACAAAGCTTCCGGGTCGTGTCTACGGAGTAGTTGAAACAAGTTCTTGCGCCCTAGGGGCCCCAGGTCTGGCAACACTAAGAGTTGTTCCAGGATCTCCTCGCGTGTTTTGTATTGCCAGCTTCTGCCGGACCTGACGCGCCACTGTACTGGAGACATTTCGCAGTGCGCGAATTGTTCTAGAACAGCTTTGCGGGCATTCTTAGACGCTCGCACCGTGTGGTGTATCCGCTTCGCAGGGTTGAACGCGGTCGTAAACAGCATGGCTGGCTCTTTGATCTCGCGAAGTAGCTTCTGGACTCCGTCTGCCACACTCTTCCATTCCTGGCGCCACGCGCGACAGTTCAGCGCTGCCCGGCTATATGCGCGAGTTGCCACATATGCTTTGTACATGAGGTCTTCGTGAGAATGAAAGGTCTGTAGCGCTGCGTCAGCTAGACAGGAACACTCGTCTGTGGCTTCGACGTTCAGCTTCATTGCACGTAGAATGTGTCCAGGTGTCAACGTCTTGGCAAACAGATCCCCATTCGGCCGCACAAACCGAATTGTCCAGGATTTGTCCCTCAATCCAGCGACCTTCCTCGGCCAGCGTTTGTACTGCGCGTTGCGCGGGTTGGAGGCTCTGCTGCTCTGTCGCCTTTTGTGGGCGTATCTACGCAACAAAAGCAGTGTGGCTGCCAGAAAAGAGAGGACATTGTCTCGCTTTGGAGTCTCAGTTTTAGTAGACAACATGTCTTCAACGTCCAACTGCCACGACGCCACTTTCCCGCGGTGGATGCTGGTTGATCCTGGTTGATATGCGCTTATGCTTGTTGACGCTTTCTGATACTTGTGCATGTTTGTTTATGTTGTTGAAACTGGTTGGTGCGAGTTTGTGTTTGTTGTCACTAGTTGGCGCTTGTTGCTGCCTGTTGATACTTGTTCATGCTTCTTGATGCTTGTTGCTGGTTGCTGATACTAAGTTGATCATCACTTAGCCATGCAAGTTTGATCATCATCACCGATCATACATCGGCTTGGCAAAGAGGTTCGGGAATGGGTACCTGAAAACTGAGTTATCAAACCTGCTTGGTAACGCTCAATGTTTCTACAAAAGCGGCAAG